GGGGGGTGTGAGAAGACCGGTGGGCAAATATGGCTTCACTTATAACAAACAATCCTCTCGATCGGACTGTCGCCTCCAAAGCAATCTGGCCCGTTGTGGTAATGCCCTAAATGTGTGTGTGTGTGTGGGTGTGTATGAGTGTGTGCGGGCACAGCACCCTGAAAAGTGGACATGCAGACAAAGGCTGGAAACCGGGAGAGCCGGACGCGTGTCTCTGTGAGACAACATGCTCGTGGACGGCAACAACTGGTGCGTGGTGTAGATTTTCCGGTGCACATTCACAGACTGCGCTGCCCATACAGACGGGGCACACTTTGGTGCACACACGAACACGCACACATGCACGAAGAGACAGATAGAGACGCGGAAGCGCACAAAAAATAGGCTCATGTGTAGGCCGAACGAGCAGAGAGGTATTTGTGCACATGTGCACGAATGTCTCTAAGGCGACAGATGCACACATGGGTCTGGTGTCTGTGCATGTGTGTGTGTGTGTTGGTGTGTGCATGAACAGTTCCACCGTCCTCGTAACGGTGTATGTGGTGTGGCTGGCGGAGTGAAGTGGGCAGTCGGTTGACCGGTCTGGCTGGGTGCTTACGCAGACACAACTTTGCGTCTCTTCGCCTCAGTCCCGCCGCCACGTCAGACTTGCAGACTCGCACGGCGGCGTCTTGAAGCAGTACAGATCTTGTCCGCCAACAGCTCGGTCCTCCTCCGACGGCGCCAACGACGACGACGACGACGACGACGAGCGGATGCGTGTATGCTTGTTTGTGCGTGCAGGTGTGCCGGTGCCCTCCTCCTAGTCCGTGTGTCGGTGTGTGCCTGCTTGTGTGCGAGTGAGTGTGTGGGCTCGAGCCGGTGCAGGACTCGGCGGCCGAGCTCAGGTGGGGCATAGCGGTCGTGTGTGATGATGGAATTGGACTATCTGCTGCCGAGACCGGGCAAGTCGGCCAATGCCGAGGCGTCGGGTGAGTTGCGAAGAGGCCTGTCGCCATCCGAGCCGGTATCTGCGGTCGCCGCGGCCGTGCGCTACTCCCTTGGCCTGGCCAGACTGGCGGGCAGAAGCGACTGTGCGGCTCGAGCCTCGGTCGGGTCTGCGTCGCCGAGGTCGTCAGCCCCGACGACAAGTCTGAGATTGGCGGAAAGAGACGAGCAAGAGACGGTGACTGGGCCGGAGGCGTCGACAGGAGATGGCGAAGAGGAGGCAGCAACTGGGAGCCTTGGAGACGAGACAAATGAGGCCAATGAGCAGACTGGGCGTCATTTGGTGAACGGTGAAGAGGAGTCGAGCGATGGGGAGACGGGGAGGCGGGCGAGCGTAGTCGAGCCGGAGGCTGTGACTGGCGCGGATGTCGACGGGGAGGCGAGCAGAGTCCGAGCCGCAGACAGGACGGACTCGAACTCGGAGCCGAGGAGAGGAGATGGAGGAGGAGGAGGATGCGCAGAAGCACATGGCGAGTCCGAGGTCGAAGCCGGCCACTTGCGGCCTCGCCTTGAGCGGATCGAATGCCAACTCTCCGATCTGATGCACCGGCACGTCGAGATCTCGCTCAGCGTGGAGCGCATCGAGTCCCTTCTCAGGCATCTCTCGCCCGAACTCGCCTCCACCTGGTACCCCAG